GATATGTGCAAAATATTTGTCCTTTAACATGTTTTAGATTTGATAATGCCTAGATCCTCGTACAATGTATCCTTCCTTAATGTTTTTTGGTGACTGAAGTCTGCAGTTGGCCATTTTACTTTAGAACAGATATGACAATCTAACATCATCAGCTCATCTACAGTAAATGCTGAAACAAAACCCCAACAGCGTGACACAGTAGCAAAGTAAATAATATAGTGCATCCATACAGTAAGTAGTAATAACAAAATGAGAAGCTCAAAAAAGGTGTGGTTTTCTAAATGTATGATCTCCCAAATAATTGGATGCACTGAATGCACTGAAACCACTTGCTTGATGTGCCACAACCTCAGCCCTAATCATCTCCACTCGTGGCAACTGCCTGCGGTAAAGATTGCTCGCCTTCATGCACAGAGTTCCCTCTGCAGATTGGACAGGCATTTGTGCACCACTTAATTTTCAATCATATCTGATCCTGTCTTAGTTGCCATGCAATGAAAAGGGAAAATGACGGTCACATGCTCTCCCTGGTGCTAATGAGAAGCTTCACTCAATGAGTGTCATTTTTTTTTATCCTATCCTCCACAGCTGAGAAGGTGTGGCTGACACGGCCTGTCCATTTACAACACAAATCGATACAGCAACCCAACTTCTCTGCATTTAGATGTTGGTTCAAAAGCAATAATTTCCAGTGGCCTGAAATGTGTTCGCACAAGGTACTAATTGATCAGTTTGGCAGATCTGTCAAATTAATATCAAGCAGAATCTTTTCTGTAATTCTGAGATGTCAATACAATAACTGAATGCAGATGATTGTACAACTTCATGACTTCCTCAGACCACTTTTTGGTAGGTACTGCCCACTGCATATGAGAATGTTTCATAGGACACTGTTGCATATACAGAGTATAATGTTTGTTTGTTTTTTACATTTAAGCTATTTTGTAAAGCTTCTTTTTCTGCACACTAACACCAGACTGTCCTCTTGGGGATTAATGAAGTATTCTATTTATCTAACACGCCACAAGACTTGCCAGCTTGGAGATGCTCTAACGTAATCATCTTGCCGTCATAATTTGGCCCCTGTCAAAGTTATGCTTGCCCATTCTTCCTGCTTCCAACACAAGAACTGACTGTTCGCTTGCTGCCTCATAGATTCCACCTCCTGGCAGGTGCCATTGTTAAAATCAATGTTATTCACTTCAGCTGCCAGCATTTTAATGTTGTGGCTGATCAGTGTACATTACAACCTGTTTAATATATTGGAAGGAAGCCCCTGTGCTGTAGTAATGACAAGATTTCCATGCAGCAACAGAATGAACAACTTAATCTTCAAAGTCACAGTAGCATGTGATTATAATCACAATGTTTAGATGAATCCCTATGATGTACAGTATGTACAAGAACAGACATAGTATTGCTATATTTACATTTTCTGTTCATTATATACAAAATGTGTCGGCTGTGACCAACTGATCACACATACTGGCAAAAACTGGCAGTATGAAGCTAAAAATTCATTTTGAATTCATTATGTCTAAATGGCAGAGTGCAGTACCGCCTTGGAAAGAAATGGCAATCTTTCCAAATGCAGTTTCATATTTAAAGAGATTTTAAACAACAAAGCATTGAGCCAGTGCATATGTTTGACAAGTAATGTGCCACAACATACTGTAAAGTGTTTAACAAATGGCATCACTGTTACTGTACCAATTTCACCAGGCATCATCATCATCATCATCATCGTCTGGGGACCATTCACATATGAAGAAATTTCCACAGCAGTCCAAACCAAAGCGGTGAACTGACCAGTCAACAGACACTGGCCTCTCTTGATCCAACTGCTAATGTGGTTCAAGGGAAATGACTTGCTTTCTACCAAATTTAATTGGAAACTGTTACATAAATATCAGAGTAACTGACACAGACATAGGGGCCAATGAGACCCAAAACATAATTTCCTTGGTGGAAGTAACTTAAAGCGAACTGAAAGAAAATCATTATTTTTGCTGTGATGAGTATGTACTGTATCTTCATAGGTAAAATTAACCCATTACCTGGAGGACAAATAATCATGTGACAATTTATATGCCACTGAGGGCAAATTCCATCTTAAGCACCAATAACCCCCAGCTGATACAGTAATTACATCTAGATGTGGTTGTAAGCTCTACTACATTTGCTCAATTATCCGTTTCCTCTGATCACCACAGCGACTTCTGTATTTGCAATAAAGAGACAATTCTCTGCAGCTGTTTACTTTTCAGGCAATCCTTCTGTTTTTCTATGTATTGTAAACAACATTTTAATAATTTGTTGTTTTTTTAATATTTGAAAGTACTGAGAAGAAAATGCTTTTAGCAACAGGTTCCTGTGTTGTTTCCAGGGATCACTCATCCAAAGAGAAATTGAATATATATCAGTTACAGCAAAACAAAACGCCACCTGGACAAAGCAAAGGACAAGATGAGAGAAAAATAGATAGCTGGTGTTTGTGTGTTTTTTTAATTCCTTTCTTTAGTTCCTGATGATCTGATATTGATTGCCTGACACTGGTCAAATAAACTCTGCATTGCGGCTAGATGCTGATTGGGTGTAGAGGGGTTAGTCTGATAGCCCTAATCAACCTCTCTCATGTGCCCTGTGCTGTCACCAGGAATGTATCACTGATCTGAATGCCTTTTTCTGTGATTGGAATGAAACAGATGTTTAGATTGTTAACAATGGCTTATCTACACTGTTCCTGCACAGGCTGCTCTTAATGTATGCCAAGTCACGAGGCTGCTGTTTTGAGATGGTTTGTATGCTGGCTCTTTTCTAATGTAGAGAATTCTAGTAAAAGCTTGTACAAGTTTTTCTCCCTGTAGTTTGTCTTTGTTCATCTTTAAATTGAACATTTCAGCAGTGGAAGAATGAGTACTTGGTAGGAAAGATGTTCTGTTTGTTTTTGTTTTGGTGTTTTATGGCTTTACAATTCGAGGATGTTGCCCCCAAAACTCTCAGTGAAGAGGACCACAGAGAGTTTGTGTGCATCAGTATACACATCCAAAGCCATTCCCAGCTTCCTATGATGTTGCTTTTCAAAGTTAACAAGTGAGCTGGGAAGCCCAGTCAAATCAATGCAGAGACTCAGTCAATTGCTCATGAACATTATAAACATGCAGCCTGTGAGCAGTTTACAGTACATCTATTCCACTTCACCCTCTGTGGAACAGAGGTGCAGAGTTTCAGCTGCTTTTACTTCACTGATATCTGGGTCTCCAAAAGGCAGAGTTGCCTTGTTTCCAGGGTCTAAGAATAATTGGTGTGTTTATGCAATCAATGGTAGAAAGCAGTCAGCCTTCTCTGAGGAAATATGAACAGCACTACTGATGAAGGCGTACATTTCAGAAAAGTGCTATACAACAGGTTTCAGATTTTGTGCTTTGTTCATGTTGCATTCACAACACAATGATATACACTACTGTATTCGTCTATATTTAATGCCAGTTCTAGTATGTTCTACAGTGTCTGTTCTTGGTGTTCCTTCTATAACACTCCCCCAAGGATTCACTAACACCTTTGTTTTCTCTCTGACAAGATGAGAATGCAGATGCTACAGTGCAGCCACTTCTGAGTATAGTTTTACCAACAAGAACCATATGCTTAAAAGCTAACTACGCCCTCAAATTCTGCTTAAAGCCTCTCTCCCAGCATATTTAAAATATACAACAAATAAAGGTGCAGCTTCTTTTAAACATCTATTCCAGTATAATTTTATCAAGCCTAAATAACCGGTACATTTATTTTGAAGGTCTATGGCACAATATTTGACCCCTCAACTCAAATCCAGCTAATAGGACGTCACTCAGACATCAACATAGGCTAGGCATCATTGTGTCAAACTGGATAACCTAAAAGTGAAGATAGCCAGCAGTGAATACAAAATACATCATCGAAGGTCAAGTTCAGACATATGGGAGAAATTAAGTGTGGTTACAGACAGTGAGAACAACGTTATCTGTGGCTTTGCTGCTTGTAAATAGTGCCAAAAAGTGTTAGCATTTAATAGCCGCAAGCCAGGCATGTCCTCACTCACAGCTGCAGAGCCCAGGTGCTGTGTCCATCAACAGGTACTTTTCTAAGAGCACAACGCTGACGCACTTTAAAGTAAATGACTGCACAGCTTAAATATTATTTTAATTACAGGTACGGGTCAGGTCACAGGTCTTACATTAACAGATCAGAGCCAATACAGAGCTTTGTAGGTGCGGGTTTTCAAAATTGGACCCATGCAGGACTGTGGGACAAGGGGAGACCATCCACCGCTCAGCATAGCACTGACACTGACCAGCCATGAGAAGCTACTGTTGGACTTTCTCTTTCTCTGCTGGAGAGACAGGGAGTCTGGCAGAGCACCGACAGTCAATACAAGCATGTTTATGTCTCTTTGAGACAGTTACAGTGTGGATCTGTTGTAGCTGATCTAGCACCTCTACTACAAAAGGCTCTCCAGCGTATATGTCTGTGGGAAAGTGTCTGTATGTAGCACTGCTGTTTATCACAGTTAACATCACTGTTCATCAGCACCAAGTATCTTGTGATCATTTTCATATCCAAGCAGACAGAAAATATCTACATTTAAGCACAACTTTTCCAAGGATATTTCAACAAACACTGATGGGAAAAATGTGCAAAATCTACAAAATACATCCTGCCGAACATTTTTTATTCACTCTAGTTCCTATTTGTGTGTAAAATGATTTTTGTGTATCTTTGGAGTATTACATCAATGGAATGAGCCATGTATGTCTAAGGTAGGAACCTTTGTGACAGTCAAAATGGAAACAACCTACAAAATCAGAGATACTTCAAGTGCATTTAAGGATAGTTTGGCAAAAAATGCTTCAAATGTCCAAATAAACATTTTTATACTTGTCACAGAGTCAATCAAACCCAATCAAATCAATCCACTGGACAACATGCACATCCTTCATTAGGGAAAGGACATCAGCACTTACCTTTGTAGAAGCACTCCTCACTGTGCACGATGCTAATCCTGTGTCCTCTGAGACAGGAGGCACGATGCAGCTCACAATGGTTCTGGTACAGCTTCCCATCTGAACCGCACACTGGTTTATAGTGTGGCTTACAGGTGTCCAAGCACGTGCACTCTCCTTGGCCCGTCTCATGGTTGACCACACAGTGACGTCCCAAGCCACAGTACTTATGTTCACATGGACCTGGATTGTCAGTGTGTCCCATAAAACCTGTAGAAACATACACACAAGAAGAAAGTGTTCCAGTATGACCCCAGCCAGTGACCTATATGTGTCCATCTGCAAAAACAGATGGAAGGTCTGGGTTCAAGCTCTTGTTATAGGCTTCATCTCATTTAGGCAGTGTCAGTCCTTTCAACCCTCAGGGAATCCCCCTTCAATACTGGATGAGGGATTTTCTCATGTCAAAGCAACAGTCAAGTCCATTTTTATGCAAGTCAAATTCACTGCAGCATAGCCACAGTGGGAGTGATTAAAAAATCTGTCCATTTTAGCCAAACTATCACTCAAAATGAGATGCAAAGCAAAACAGTCATTTTTGTCATTCTGTATTGACATGACATGACAAAGTTGTTATATAAAGAGAGCTACTACTTTAAAACAAATAAGCTGATTTTGTTGTTGTTTAGTCTCAGTTTAGACTAAGGGCATATTCACACCAGGCAATCCATACCGTGCCAGTTCATTTGACTAATGTGATCACTCTGAACCATGCCCAGGCATGGTTCAGCATACTGTGCTCTGGCCTGATTGAAGAGGCGTGCCCGGGCACAGTTCAGACGGCCTCGGGCACTGTATGCTCTAGTGTGGTTGCTAACCGTGCCCGGGCACGGAACACTAGCACTTTCCGAGAGCAGTACTTCCCAGGTGCAGCATGCTGATGTTAGTGCGCTCTGAGAGAGCAGGCCAGTGGGAGGGAGGGGGAACAATTGTGCTCGGGCACGATACGAGGCATCCGTGCCTAGTGAGAGTACATCCTAAATGCCATTCTGGGCCAATGAACCCACAATGCATTTACTCCACCTCAGATCATTTTAAGTGTCATCCCAAACCAGTTAGTAGTTAGCTACTTTGTTAAATGTAATACAACCTTGACTGAATAATCTTTGCATCTCTAATATGACATTTAACCTCTGCCTATTATATGAGCGAGATGTCAACTATTTTCTTTAGCAATCTATTAAAATTGAGCAGATTTTTTTTCCAAATTCTTGTTTGTGTTTCCTTGTGAAATATTAGACTATTGTGCCTCTTTAAACCTCAAAAATCATTAAGCAATCTTCATTTTCAAGTCTTTGGTTTACTCACATGTAAATAAATAGCCTATAAGAAAATATCACAACCGGCCATTTTAAAAAGGCCGAAAGACAAAGGTTGGGAACAGCTGGTACATAGTATGTTTACAGTGACAATGTGTCCTACAGCTATCCAGCTAATTTACACCCTCCACCTGGTTGTGTGACTTCATGTGAAATCACACTCCACAGTGAATGACTAGAGGGGAGGGAACAGTTTCTCACACACAGTCACCTTTAGTGATGGGGGCTAAAAGTACTGTATTCATTTGATCTGAAAGCTGAAGGCTTGAAATGAAAAGAAATGGAAAATAAAACGCAGGGAAAGTGTTCTTGTGCAAGACACTTACTGCTGATCAGCTTCAGGGGTGCTACAGAATGACTACTGTGTGGAAGAGGAAGGAAAGGGAGAATTTCCCTGTGGGGTTTAATGGAATAGCTGGAAAAAGGTAATAACAGAGACAAATATTGCAGCTTGTGTGGTATTTCAGCAGCAGCAGCTGGGAGGAGAGGCACCATACAGAATCAGGAAAGAATGGCACAGACTGCAGGATTGAGGATGACTTCATTTACAAAAGTCTTTATGAGAACAAGATTTTTCTTTAGGGAATGATAAGTGTGATTTTCTCTGAGGAGGTGATTCTGCTGTGCTCTGCCTTTCCAACCTGTATGAACACTGACAAGTCTTGACATGCCACAGAACAGTCTGCACAATAACCCATGATCCACATTAAATACATGAGCTTTCTGATTGCAGCTTGCACACTCTCAGATTGCCCTTTGGAAACAGTCCAAGTGGTGGAGGGGCACGTTGAGCAGAGAAAAAAGGATAAAAAAGAAATAAAATAAAAAAAAATCTACCAATAGAGCAGATGCTTCACAAGACTGCACTGATTTATAAAGCTATTAACACAAGGCAATGACTACACAGAAAATATTTCCAGGTTTGTCCTCTATTCTGTTTGTAAAAAGCACACTGTACTGTCATTTAGAAAGCTCATTAACACGTGGTATATCAGCACTTCCTTATTTTAATCACAACACGCATCATTATAATGGCTACAATGAAAGCTAAAATGTTCAAGCACAAATCCACACTGCCCACTACTCTGCATTGCTCATTGCTGGTAAATGAGAGCTTGGCTAAATGCACCTTAACACTTGATCAATTGATTGTTTAACATCAACCCTAATCTTAAAAGCTGCATTCGTTCCCCAAGCCTGGTACATTTTTTGTTCATGGTCATGTGACTCCTTTGAGATCTTGTCAGTGTGTTACTGTGACAATGCTGCTGTGTTGAGGATGTGCACTGCAGCCGGCACCAAATCGTGTGTGATATTTACACATCACAAAATAATCGCTGCTGTTTAGTTGTTTCTATTTTTGCATTTTATGAGGGTTTGATCTCGACAAATGCAGCTGTAGGTGTAGATAAAGTGGGCAATGTGTTTGACAGCCTGTGCACTCCTGTGGGCCACAGTCCAATTCTGGCAAATGATCACTTTTTGTACAACTTTATAAATGCAGTGGTTACAATATATTTTTTACTGTATTATCTTAAACACACACACCATAAAGTTACTCAATGCCTAAAACCAAACCTAAGTTACTGCTATTCAAGGTACAAGCAACAAAGCAAGCACAACTTTGTGAGCGAGGTACTGTGCACCTGACTCCTGCATGGGGCTGTGTAGGCTACTCACCAATAATAGGCTGACAGGTGGATTTATAACATCTTTAGAACCCACAGGCTGAACAAGCATATTTGGGGTCAGTAAATCATTCCTAATAAAATTATTTGCATCTCAATTATTTTTGAGGTTTGGGAAGAAATCAATTCTATATTCTAAATACCAAAACACATTTTTACTTCTCATACTCTGATTCCATTAATATACTGCCAGCTGGAAGGACGAATTTGGTGGGCAGGATATGGGCTGTGGGCACCAGATGACTCTAGCTCAGTTCATGTACTTCCACATCCAGTCATCCACACAAGCGCCTTGTTCACTTCCAAAAAGTTCTGCAGTACTTGTAATAACAAAACGTTGCCAGTGAACACACTGGATTAATCATTATAATTCATCCAAACCATTAACCAATGCAAATTAGTTGCATATGATCACAATTCATTGATGAATGAGCTGCACTATATTTACTCAAGATATGACTATCCAGACAAAAGAAGCGAGGAGCATAAAGACAGGCCTCTACAATCTTTACTCTCACACACGCTGTTTCACTACTGACAATACATATTGATTTGAGGGTGGTGCTTCACTGCATTAATTACGATCAATGATGCATTTGGCTTTCAGTAGCATGGCCTGCTGTTATATAAACTCAAATGAGAAGCAAGATGAACACTGTGCCAGACAGCCTAAGTAGACAGTTATGGTAATGCATTAAAGAAATGGCTTTGCCTCTGAGGGCAGATGCATTACACATATGTAGTTGGTATCAAACAGTGAGCACTTGTTACTTTAGCACAGTTTGCTTCTAGAGAACATGTGTCATCCAGCTTCCAGCTAAAGGCACATTAACTGCAATGTTTTCTTTTTCAAATTAAAGTTAATATCAAACAACATAATAAAAGAAAAAACTTAATGCTTCAATTCAAAGCTTCCTGGGCGTCACTGAAATTCTGAAACTTCACAGCTTTGTGGCTTTCAATTAAATGTGTTCATGAATATCTGAAGCTCAGTTTTAGCAGCTGGACATCAGGGTAAACAAACTGACTTCAAGTGCTCAGCCTCATTCATGTCCCTCACATCTCCCCACACACAGTCCTACATTACCTTCGAGCCATCACAGACGATTTAGACGAGATACAAGTGTGCATACTGTGACCTGATTGGAGCCAGTCAATTTGCTAGTTTATTAATTCCCCCCGGTGCCCAGGCATAATGATTATTCAGGGAATTTGTGTCGCACAGCCAGGCATCCTGTGCCACCAGCAGGGTCAGCGAAGGGCGTAGTCATTCGTTATCTGTATGCACATCCAGCACTCTGGTCATCAGCTGACATCAGAGACAAATGAGGAATTGTTCACAGACATTCATACACTGATGACCTATTGCTTTTTCCAGAGCATGGACAGAAATACATCAGGCTCAATGCTCAGTGTGAACCTGAGGGATTTTAGGAGTCTTCTGAACTGTAATTGTACACCTGTAAACAGCTACTAGGGGCACAGATCACGGTACAATCTCTATAATTCAGTATCTTGCTCAAGGATGTTTCAGCACAACAGCTCGAATGGTGGGTTTGTTTTTACTGTGATGATTGTTTTATTACAATAACTGACAACAAAATGTGTAATAATATATGGTAAAGTGGCTTCAGAAAGTATTCAGACCCCTCACATGTTGCAGATTTCATTCTGAATGGACCAAGTCACCATTTGTTGCCCATCAGTCTGCACTCAAAGCCTTAATGACAAAGGGAAAATGTTTTTAGAATGTTTTGTATTAAACTAATTGAATTACAACCATAGTATAACTGAAAACCATTAGCAAATCCTTCATTAACAGTAAGGTATTAAAATCTAAAATTCGGTTTGATGATATATTCTGTAATAATTTAAGAATTTTAAAAGCAGCAAAGAACAGAATGGCTCTAGATGCAAACCACTATAGTCTGATTGAGCTCATTAAAAACAAGCATGCAGTGAAAATGCACCCTGTGCAGGTAAAATCTTAACTTTTTAGTCCGAGCATGTAGGCAACATCAAGGTCCTGACATATGTGACTCCAGTGTTCACCATTTGAAGGGTATCGTCCTGTAATGCATGCATAATTAGGTGAACACTATGTAAGGGGGTAACAGACGTACATGGCTCACATAATCAGGTTGTCGTGGCAGATGGATCAAAGCCTTGCTATCACAGCACATGACAAGCCTGAGAAAAAACA